TACTGTTTTCCAAAATACTTTTTTGACTTTTTTTTTACCTGTTTGTGTAATTTTCTTTGTCTTTTTTTTTTTTCCATTGTCTTTATTGTCTAGATCCCTTGTCAACAGGGTGGCACAAACTGTCTCTGTCAAGTGGCATGGAAACCAACAAGCCATTATTATGAAATATTTGCACTAAGTACTAGGTGTATCTAAAAGGATATTACATATGGACAGACTGGTTATGCTAACACATATAAAGTATCATTTTAGAGCTTCTACTTATTGAATATTCAGTTAACATCAAAGTGATATAACTTGTTTTTGACAGACTATGACACAGAAACCCATATATTGCTATTAATATTATTATCTAATTTCACCAATACTAGTAAGTACATCATTTGTTTATAGGGGGATTAGCTGTTGCATACAGACATAGTGGTTGTATCAATTCATATAGAGTATAAAATGTACAGTTCAGTTTTCAGTCAAATTCATACAACCTGTCTCTGTCAAGTTATGGCACAAAACCCATATGCCACTATTATGGCCTATTTTTACTAATTCTAAGTATATTTAAAGGGTATTACATACTATCATTCTGGCTATGACAACTCATACAGGGTATTATTTTGAAGCTTCTACTTGGTTATTTCTTATACACTTGCCAACAGGCTGGCATTCCCTGTCCCTTTCAAGATATAACACTAAAACTGTTCTTTTAAGAAAAAACTAATCATGAAGGGAAGGCCAAAGCCAGAGCAGAGGGATTTTTAATTGAGTAAAGATTAGAGTAATATGTGATCATTACAGAATGCCTGTCTGGAATATGAAAAAAATTTGGATGTTTATACTAGTTATGTTTATTTCTAATGTAAGAAAGTTTGGACAAATGTCAGTTATAGCAACTTGAGGAAGTTACCCTCTGCTTTTGGTACATAAAGATAGATATCTTTGAAAAAAATTTGTAGGATGTATTTACCCCTAAATGAACAGTAATGGAACAAAACTGACCAGTGTAGGAAAAAACAAGTTAGAGAATATCTAAAGATATGAATAAGGTTGATTAGTGCTACAGATTATGTAATTAGGCTGGAGCTTTTTTTTTTTCAAGGAAATGAGAATACAGTTCAGCAAATTGCTTTAATTTAATCAATATTTTACTCCTTATCCTACTACAAGTTTGACTTTGTTGGGTCATACACATAATTTGATGAAAAATACTATTTTTGGGAAGTTACTAAACATTATTATTATAACATAACTTTTGCAAACTGCTTAAGCAATGCAGTTAATACACCACTATCTAGTGGAACTTTTTTCTTTAATTTAAAAGTCTTGAGACTTTCACTAAAAAAGCAGACAGGTCAAACACAGACTTGGCATTATTGTGAATCAAGATACTTATACCTCTACAGATATGCATTGCTGAAGACTTTCATTATAGGATAACAAAAATCTTTGTCTAAAAAGCCAGGTGAATGTATGTATTTCTTCTCAATTATCACACAAGTATCAGTCTGTCAGTAATGTGAAATATTGCTGTTTTTGTGTATGTTGCAATAATTTTCCTTCAATAACAAATGACACTGAAAACTCTTGTTACATGGAATGATTAATTTTACCTTTGTTTTAATTATACAGCTGTGTTGATGGTAAATATTATTTAGATTTTATGAAAATTTGTCTTTGTAGTGTTAAGTATTTTAAAATGATAATTAGTTCAGCCTTATAATATAATTTGCATAATATCATATTTGGAATTCTATTGGTGGCTTGTTTTTAGATGTAGCTGTTACATTCAGATTTTGTCTGTTGTCTTTTTTTTTCTTTGCATTTGACAATTATACATTTGACACATTACAAAAGGTTTACTCTTGTATTAAGTAAAACAGTGATATTTAAAAAGCTGTCCTATAAAGTGATGCTGCCTTCATATTTTGCCAAAACAATTAGCCACAGTTTGAGTAAAAAGTTTCATTTGAAAAATATTTTTTAAAGTTAAGTGAAACCAATATATATGTACTAAAGCTGCTTGAGGCAGTAGATTAATTTATTTCCCTATATATATTCTGATTTTTGACCTGCTACATTCCCTCTGCTGAGATGTAGGTTTGAGCCCAGAACTTTAAAAATATAAATAATGATTAAAATATATTCTTGATATTATATGGGTAATAAAATAAAAGTTTAAATCAGTTTTAATTTGCTATTGCATTAATAAGAAATATTTGAAGACCTACCATTTTCCAGATCTTGGACTTAATTCTTCGTACAAGTTCATCTCCAATTAGAATATTTTTCATGTACATTAAACTTTTATATAACAAATAACTGTAAGTTAAGGTAATCCTACAAGACAGCTTATGTACTAATTCTGTTTGTTCAAATGGCATAAACCCCATTACATTCCTAATAAACATAAATGGTTCTGTGATTAATTTTACTGGGTAGCAACAATTCTCAATACTTTTATTATACCTTTTGATTAACCTTTTTATAATGTCACATAAATACCTTATCCAAAATTATACATGTCACATCTCAGATGGATATTTAATTTTACCTTGAGAGAAATCAGGCAAAGATTAGCAAGTGCTGATCTCAGCACTATTTTTTGTTTGTTTTTTGGCCATGCATACCAAAATGTGCTAAGAGATTCATGTCTTGCCTTTTTTTGGAGTTGCATTCAAATGCTTAATGTTGCTCTTTGGATAAAATTAATGAAATTTTCATCATTTAAACATGACTATATCTAACTACAGAATCTTTTGGCTTGAATCTGAGACCTGGTAAAATTAGGTTATCAAGAACCATATGTTGGTCAGGATGTATTCTTTGTTATGTGCCCTACTTCAAATTATGCCGGTGATTTATTTATTTACAAATTTTTAGACAATATAAAGGGCAATACTACCTGCATAGCTTGTTTAAAAAATAACAACAAAAATTCCTAATTAAAATTTGAAATTGACTTGTATTGAGTTTGATTTGTTTTTATATAAACATTGTTTACTTTTAACATGATTTGAAATGTATTACTTTAGTCAATAATTTAAAGTAAAGTTTATCAAGTTGAATTCACTTAAGTCATAGAACTGTCTGCAGTAGTGAATATTTCAGTCACATATCTCTAGTTGAAATGTTCAACATTGTGCCCTTCCATCAAAAGAATCATCAGGTCTTTTCCGTGTTCTGTATTGACACCTCCCATTCTAGGAAGGGCTAAGAAGCATCTTACTTCTTTATTGCAACCCTTTTCCATTTGTATGCATCTCATGAATGCAGAAACACAAATTTTTGATTAATCAATTTAATTATAATTTTGATTAATTGGTTAGTTTATGTGGCCCTAATCAAGGTCATCACAGCTCATAGGTAATTGATTATATCACCCAGCTGTAGTTAGGATGCTGTCAAAAGACATTTTTTGAAGAGCTTATGTGATTGTCAAAAAATAATGTGTATTAAAACTGTTTAATGAAAATATTATTGAATGCTTTATGAATATTTCTTTTAAGGATGGAGCACAGCCTGTACTTTGACATAAGTCCTGATCAAATGCCAATCATCTATGCTTCAGAATATAACATTACCTTTGGTGGTTTGGAAAAAGTCCATCCATTTGATGCTGCTAAATGGCATAAAGTACATACATTTTTAAAAGGTGAGATTATCTTTTTTTCTCATCCTCTTTTATTAAAAAGCTATAATGTAAATTCGTATTGTCAATATTAACTTCAACAACTTGTTCTCTCAAACAGAGAACTAGAAGTTTTATAGTTTTAACTTGGTTTGAGTGTGGACAGACTCCAGTATGTTTGAAAAAGCCAACTTCTTTTGATGGAGACAGAGAGAGCAACTTTTTGATAAAATTGTAGAAGTATTTTAGTAAATAAGCTAATATTTGTGCATGGTTTGCTCTTACTTATGTCCTTATTGCAATTCAAAAAATGTAAAGAAACTATTATGAAATGCAAATAGTTTCTGAACACAAAAATATTTATACTTTAATACTAAATATGATTCCCAGTAGTTTTTTTCTTTTGAGGTGAATTGTAGATTGTAAAAGGAGAACCAAGAAGAGTTTTGAATTATTATGTCTACATAATTCAGACTTTTTTTCTATCTGTGTAGAAGCTAGTATCATAACTGATACCTCCACAGTGTCTCCCAAAGAAGCCACAGATGAAGATCTGATGACCGTCCATCCTCAAAGTTATCTGAATAAATTGAAGGTATTTTTTGCATAGTTCTTGTAATATTAATAGTACATTATTAATATTGGAAATAGGCCAAACTACTTACTTGTCATTTGTGTTTTATTTTTCAAAAATAAATTGGAAATAAGATATTGTTGCGTCATCGAGGTCACGTGACTGGTGTGGCGCCCTCTAGTTTCTAGAACTATCTTGTTTCTTCATGAATGCTCTAGTATTTACTAGATGGGGTAGGTGGGTATATATAAGAGGGGGACAACGTGACGCGAAAGGTAATGCGTGTGAGTGGATAGTGAGTAATTGAACTGCAGTCACAGGGTATTGTTAAAGTTAACGTTCGTTCGTTATAGTGTTTGTTTTAATGCGATTATTGAAATAAGTGTATCGTAAAGTTATAATCGGAAAGAATAAACCAGTTTTATTAAGTAAAGACTTGTATCGCTTAAGTTTCGTCGGAACAAAGTTACGGAAAATCAATTAACAAACGGAGACGT